AAAAAAAAAAAAGGGGAGATGAATACTAAGTGAACAGGGTGTGTGAGATCGAGCCCTCCTGGCTTGACCTTCAGGCACGCAGCTTCTGGTTTCAGCGTGTAGAGGTTAATTCTCAGCAGTGCGAGCCCGCTTCAGCGCCATCACTTTATTTAATTCATGGTTTGGAATCTGCAGCACGACAGCGGTGGTCTCTCCTGAGCCAGAGCCTTCCTCTCCGGCCCCTAAGTTAGACACACAATGGGAGGGAGGGGGGATGTGGGAGGGACAGCAAGGGTAGGTCACCTGGGGATGGGCAGCAAGGAAGGCTTGTTCTCCCAGGGATAGACCCCAAGTGTGCTCTGAGCCGGAAGGCGACAGGGAGGGAGGCGAGCACCCTGCAGGTGTGCACGGGGGTGGTGACAGCAGCAGAGGAAGAGCCGGTGTGGGCGGCGAATCAAGGTGAGGGCGAGGTCAGGTGGAAGAAGGCGGGGGAGGGGGGCTCAGTCTAATTGCTCAGGCAGCATTGACTTCCTGTGCCATCGCGCATAATGCTTGTGTCTTCTCCATCACCAATCCCCACGCCCCCAGGCCAGCTCAGGCTCGCACCCACATCCCCTCCAAGAAAAGACAGAAGTGGAGGTCGAATGACCCCACTGGAGGGTTTGTTTTTTTCTTTAATCATCATTAAACATGCTAAAATCACACAGCGGGGCTATGTCACTTCCGCTCGGACTCCACGGCGGGGTAGGTGGGGACTCCAGGGGTCACTTGGTTTGGCCGCCTTCAGGGATGGCCAGATGTGGGAGGTTAGAGGTAGGCAGGTTAGCAAAGTCCCGGAAATCCTTCCTCTGGGTACACATCTACCAGCAGTAGTCTCCAGAAGGCCCCCCTCCCCCACACTCCTGTCCTCTCCAGATCGGCTCCCTGCCCTTGACCCTCGAAACCCGCTCTGCCTCTGCCTCTTATGGTCGCAGACTGGATGATGAAGGGTCCCTTCCTGGGAACTCCTCTACTCGGCATGCAATAACGTGGAAGGTGCTTGATTTGGGTCCCCCTGGGGGGGGGGGGGCTCCAGTCCCCACTGTCACCCAGGTCCTAAGAGGGTGGGTGGATGTGGTGGCCCAGACGGATGTGAGCGGCAAAACCCGTTACCTGAAGTGTGAATGTTGTAGCTGGCAGAACGGTGCTGGTGCCCCCCCCTCGGCGCCCTGCTCTGAAGGCTTTCCCCTCCCTCCCACGCTGGCGGGGGCCCCTGTCTCAGCCTCAAAGCCTCTTGCCCCTCAACCTCACAGGCGAGGCACAGGTACCGACCAAGGAGGCTTATCCTGAGGAGAAACCGGTCCACCTCAGTCAGGTGGCTGCCAACTGGGTTCTCCATCTTCCCCATGTTCCTCGTGCTTCCGCTGCTGCGATGGCTGGAGGGGGCGATCAGAGAAAATAATATCTAAAGGTCGAACTTGCCTCCACAAGAGGCGAGAGGGACACACAGGAGTGGGAACTGTGGAGGAGGGGAGAGAAGGGAGAGGGGGGGAGGGCAAGCCTGGTTATTCAGGGGCTAGGATCCTTTTTCCTTTTCTGGAATCTCCGGAACTTGCCCTGAATGGCAAGGGCGGCCTTCTCTGTTTCCGGTGCTGTCAGATCAATATCAATCTCCTCTTCCTCCTCAGCCTTCTTGGCACTGTTGGCCTTCCCTGCAGGGGGTTGAGAGACTCATAAATGGGTACACGGGCATTGCCCCCGCCCCTTTCTCCAGGCCCCCAAATGCAGCGGTTAGGGTCCACTTCCTGCTGGGCTCTGTGGGGTTCTCCAGTCTTTGCTAGGACTAAGGACGCCCGGTAAGTCTCCTGCAAACTTGAGTCAGGGGACGGAGGCTGAGAGCTCTCTCTAGCTACGTAGGAGCTTTGCTGCTCTTAGACCAAGATGGCAAATGTCTTCTGTCACCACTCATTCCTAAAGCCCGCACTTCATACCCAGAGCATGTTCACTGTCCCCAGCTTGTTCTCAATTTCTCATTGACACAGTGGCCCGATTACCTGGCGAGTTTCTTCCTCTCACAGTGCCTGTTCCCAAGCACTCCCGAGCCAGTTTCTAAAATCAAAGAGGCAGGGCGCCTGGGTGGCGCAGTCGGTTAAGCGTCCGACTTCAGCCAGGTCACGATCTCGCGGTCCGTGAGTTCGAGCCCCGCGTCGGGCTCTGGGCTGATGGCTCAGAGCCTGGAGCCTGTTTCCGATTCTGTGTCTCCCTCTCTCTCTGCCCCTCCCCCGTTCATGCTCTGTCTCTCTCTGTCCCCCCCCAAAAAAATAAATAAACAAACAAAAATAAATAAATAAAAAAAATAAAATCAAAGAGGCAATGCCGGTAGGTTTCCTTCTGAGGAAAAAGCGGAAGGAGTTCTAACCTAGCGCTTTGTTTCACTTATCCACGTTCCTATTCCGATCACGTCTGACTCCGGGAGCTTCCAGACTTACAGCCCTACCCGTCTTCATGTCCGTGTATCTACCCGCTCTACAGATCGCCTAGCCCAACCCCACTCACCCTTTTCCTCTGGGCCAGGTGCCTGGTTGGTTGCTGGGGACGTTTTGGTATTAAGCTGGAAAAGACAAATCAGAATGTTAGATATTCACAGAAGCACTAAGGTGCCATCCCCTCAGACTCCTTATCAACACTTTGAGGTCCTCCTACCAAGCACTTTCCCCTAGGCTTTTGTTTTTGTTTTTTCAACGTTTATTTATTTTGGGGACAGAGAGAGACAGAGCATGAACGGGGGAGGGGCAGAGAGAGAGGGAGACACAGAATCGGAAACAGGCTCCAGGCTCTGAGCCATCAGCCCAGAGCCCGACGCGGGGCTCGAACTCCCGGACCGCGAGATCGTGACCTGGCTGAAGTCGGACGCTTAACCGACTGCGCCACCCAGGCGCCCCTCCCCTAGGCTTTTGAAGAAGCGGGTCTCAAGATCGAGAGAGGGAGAAAAGTCGTCAAAACTCGTTCAACAAGTATTTATTGGCGCTAGGGAAGTCGTAGAGGACAAAACAGACTAGCTCTGTGCTCACGGGGTTCACATCCTAGTGCACAGATAGACCTACTACACTAGTATGCTAAGTGGTCATAGGTGCTGTAGACAGAAGACAGGCAGAGGGGTAGTGAGGGCTGGGGTGGGAATGGAGAAACACGGTTGTGCGCAGAGTGGTCGGGAAAGTCCTCTCTGAAAGTAGCATTTGAGCCAAGAGCTGAAGGAGATAAGGGACCCTCCAATGGCTGTGGAGTGGAAGTGAGATGAGCCGTCAAGAGGAGGGAAGCAAAAGAAAGGGGGGTGGAGACAAGAACAGAGAGGGAGAGAGAGTCCCAAGCAGGCTCCACGCTGTCAGCCCAGAGCCCTTATGCGGGGTTCGATCCCACAAACTGTGAGATCATGGCCTGAGCCGAAATCAAGAGTCAGACGCTTAACTGACTGAGCCACCCAGGCGCCCACGCCTTGGGAGCCTTCTTAAGGATTTTCACTTTTATAGGTGAGATGAGAAGGCACAAAGGGGCACGTGGGAGGAAGCAGGAAAACCTGGGGGGGGGGGGT